CTTTTGGGGGAAGTGCTGTTAGTGAGCACCTATGAAAGCCGGCACGGCACACGAGGGGAGTGGGTGGCCAGCATCACGCCCGGCTGCCTTTGTCTCCCTAGTGGCGATGTTTACACACCAAACTAGGTACTCATTTTAAGGTTGAGTCGACCTAGGGGAGGCCCAGGACCGGTTCAAATAATCGTCACTGGTGTTGGCCGTGAGCGGCAATCGAACTCGGATCGCTGGGTTCGTAGCGTAGCGCGCTAACCGCTAACTGCTCATATATACACACACGCATAGATACGTGCTGGAGTATAGCCAGATTTCCTGTCACCGCCTGCAGGATCTACAACTCTGAGTGAGCATTTTTCTGAAGGAGAATATAAAGAATTGGCCACAGTTGGCCATCGGATAAATGGGCTATGTTATTAGGCCAAACGACATATAAGCAAAGCAACTCCGTGGCTTATAGCGGCGGATTTATTATATTCAGCGGAAATGTTCGACCCTGCATGCTTTAGGTGGGGGGGGGTTATTTATTTTTTGCGCAGACGCAGCGGGAAGAGGCATCCCCATGTTTTCTCCTGTGCTCAGAAAACACTCCTTGACGCCATCCGACTCAAACGAAAACGTCTGGAACGGCGAACACCGCACAAGGAGGCTTCTTGAGAGAGGAGCAGGCAGCGAACTCACGCGGTTTAATTGGCACGGTTTATTTTTCACGTGAATTTCCATGAAATATTTGCGCAGCGGACGATTAATGAGGCGTCTTGGTGGTGGAATTGCGTGGCGACCTTCAGTCTTAGCGTGTTGTCATTGTCTCTAATGGGCGTAGAGGGCGTCGGCTTGCTAATCACTCCCAAGTATGACTGTCTTCATAAGCCACGCATGTAGTGGTTATGAAGCAAATGAGATGGAGGGGAGGGAATGTTATCTTGTCGTCACGTAAAGAGCTGGGAAGCGAACGAAGGGCGCCTTTAGTGCGGAAATTGTGACAGCACTTTTGGAGACATTTTGAAGTGGAATTGTGACAAATGCAGCGATAATAATAATAATAGGGGTTTTCTCATTTTTTTCTGGCAACAAAGCTTAAACCTTTTTACAAGGATTCATGTCCGCATTAACCACAATACCTGCAGTCAAAATGCAAAAAAAAACATACTATGATAATATATGCATTGTCCTTGAAACTGATTGGTCCACACCAAGGGACGGCTTTCTTTTGAACCTCGACCCAATTGGTGCTCGACCAGATGACGCCTTTTGGCTCAAAAGAAAGCCGCCCCTTGGTGTGGACCAATCAGTTTCAAGGGCAATGCATATATTATCATAGTATGTTTTTGTTTGCATTTTGACTGCAAGTATTGTGGTTAATGCAGACATTAATCCTTGTAAAAGGTTTCAGTTTTTTTGCCAGAAAAAAAGGGGGAAAACCCTATTATTATATTTTGGTACTGGCAAAGGAGGTCTAATGATGTAAATGCAGCGATGTTGATTGATAACTCAAATCTGTAATTGGCGGGATAACCCAACGCAACAAAGCAATTAGTGCAGGCCGGGGAAAAAAACAAATAGATTTATCAACGCACACATGTGTGCATTGCGTGCAAAACATGTCCACGCGTGCAGCTACTCATGACGATTCCATTGCCGTCGGCAAGATGGTGTCTGCAAGATAACGATGGTTTCACACTGAAGGCGTCGTCTCAAAACACGGATGCACAACAAAACCGAAACCGCCGGTTGAACGAGCAGCAACACCACCCCCCCCCCCCCCACCTCGAGAGAGACCACCGTCACGCAGAGCGCGCGCAGGGAAGTTGAGTCGCTGCAGGGCCGAGACACGAACTGACGAACTGCAATGACGGACGGGGAGGCGAGTGGCTCAGTCACACGCACAGCGAACTTCGCGGCCGAGTCGACAAACTGAGCCGAGTCTCCCCCCGAGCAATCTGCGAGGCGGCGGCGGCAGCAAACGGCGGGCTGACCAACGTGACTGTTGCAGTTCGGGCGTGCCGGTCACTGCCGTGGAGGTTATTGCCCCTTGCTGTTATTGCCCCTTACTGCGCACAGATGCGGGAAGACGCCGCTCGTGTGATGCCTTCCAATTATCATCAGCAACATCAGCCACTGTTGGCACGGAAGGGAAGCTTGGGCTTGTAAGTGAAAATGCGGCAAAGACTGTGGGCGCGACCCACATTTGCTCAGCCTGGTGCGGGCAAGTTTGTGTGTGCGGGTAAGTGTGTGTGTGCGGGTGTGTGTGCGTGCTGGTCTGCCTGCAGGCTTTGGGTGGTTGGCATATGTGTGTGTGTGTGCCTTGATGGGGTGGTCTGTGTTTGCGTGTGTGCAATATGTTGGGTGGTCTGCCTGTGTGTGTGTGTGTGCCAGGGTGGGGTGGTTTGTGCGTGTGTGTGATCCCTATTCGATGTGTGTTACCCAAGTGTTGCATGCAGAGTGGAATGGTGGGGGTAGTGTGTGTGCCATGCCTTGTGATAATGGGTCTTGTATGTTCAGTGTATCGTGTGTGTGTGTGTGTGGCATTTGCCAGGTGACGATGTGTGTGCGTGCGCGTGTGTGTACACCACGCCTGGTGGTGAAGCGTCAGGGTATGTGTGTAATGCCTCGCGGTTATGTGTCGATCATTAAGCACCTTCGTGATGGTCAACAGGCCGAGCTAAAGCTTGCGTGGCCGGGAGTCAGAATTATTAGTGGTGGTCTTTGAAACGGTTTTGCAGAGTTACTTTTTAATCGGCTAATTAACCCTATATGTGGAATCTGCCTGGCCTGCCACTCCGCACGAAGCTCTGCATATTTTTGCCCATAATCATGCCCTCTATGCCTGCAAAACATCGATTCCCTTTACATCAACACCTCTGTCGTCTTGAAACATTGATGCTGAGCCATATAGCTCACATGCTCAGCCACTGCATGTCTAAGCAGCTTCTGATTGACCATATAGAAGGAACTAAATAGGCATGGAATGGGCTTGAAAATAGATGGGCGAGTGTGGTACAGGATTTGGAGTTTCCGATGACTGGTACAGCTGTGTTAATGATCACCTTTGTGGAGGATGCTTGTGAAATAAGGGACTGGAAATTGGAGGCAGCAACAATGGGATGCGGCGGACTGATGCTCACATTGACAGCGACGGGCGGCTTGAACAGAGCGAGGTGTCATGTTGGGAAGTGCAGGTGGTATACAGTACTTGCCTGTCATTTGAGTAATGAACATATAACACCTGGGCCTTCTCCATACCTGGGCAGTGTGCTTATGACCAGCTTTGATGTGGTAGTGGAGGTCTTACTTCCAATCAGTCAAGCGGCATTATCTTTTTATCAGCTGTGTAACGCTGTATGGAAGCAACTTCATACGAATCTCCGGGTCTTCTCCGGGTCTTCTCGACCACAATCATGCACTCCCTTATATATGCTTGCGAAACTTGGAGCCCTTTAAAGGAATTCCTGCGCCCGTTTGAAACATTCAGGCGAACCTGCCTACGATCCATATTTGGTTTAATCAGGCTGGATTGTGTGAGCAGCTCACAGATCCTTGACAGATCTGGCCACGGTCCCATCAGTGAGCTCCTCCGGCAGGCAAGGCTGCGTTGGATGAATCATATAGCCGGCATACCCAGCCACCGCATGCTTCCGCTTGGCCAGATAGAGGGGGCTAAACGGACACGGCACAGGCTAGAGAAGAGGTGGTTTGATGCAGTGCAGAATAGCGTGGAGCTGATTGGACCTGCCGTTGTCTGGTGCCGGCGGCGTCATAGTCGGTCTTTCTGTAGGAGGCTCCTGAAGGACGCTACTGAGCAGTCGGAGGCAGTTGCCCTCCAACAGCAACGGAGGGCAGAGAAGAGACGCTCACAACAATGAGCCGGAAGTTGGCACAGTGAGGCGCACAGGTGGTGCGTCTGCCAGTCATCTAAGTAATCCCAATCAGTTAACTCAAATCACCTCGGTCTTTCCCTTGCCGTCCTGCTAGCGAGCTTTCCATGGCCTCAAGGTGCACCTAGCCTGGCACAAGCGCCTTGGTGACGTCATCGCCACTTCGTGGCGAACGCGGCTGTTGTGTGTCTCACGTTCATGGGGAGCGGTGACACAGTGGTTAGCGCACCGTGCGACAAACTGTGCTAGGAACTCGACGACCAGAATTTAATCCCCACTCACGACCAAAAACACAGAGGGGTGTATATCTAAAAATGGGTACCTGGGGCGGTGTGTATTGAAACATCATTACTGGGGATACAAAGGCGGTCGGGGCGTGGTCTTGGTGCTGGTCAACAACACTTCAGCACTTGCACAGTCCGTTCGAGACTATACGGAGATCTTTGTCTTTGTTTTGCACGCGCGTGTGTGTGCGTGTGACGATAATTATCTGAACTGGGCCTCCCCTAGGTCGACTCAGCCTTAAATGTCTCCCTAGCGGCGATGTTTAGGAAGACAAAGGCGGCCGGGTATGGTGCTGGCTCCCCCACGCCCTCGTGCGCCTTGCCAGCCTTCATAGGCGCACGCTAGCAAGCACTTGCCCCAAAAAGTCCATTAAGTCTATACGGGGGATCTTTGTCTTGTGTGTGTGCCCGTGGTGGGTGTACCATTGCGGGTCGCGCGCGCTGCGCCTGCGTGCGCCGCTAAAATTCACGAGAGGCGCGGAGCAGCCGCTCAGACCGCGCGCGAAGAGCACGAGCGGCTCGTGCTCTCAGCGCGCGCTTCGCCACCGCACACACAGAGGGACACACAGACGGACACACAGACACACACACAGCTGACACGCGGCGACGATACGAACGCAGCCTCTCCCTCCCTCTCTCTATAGCAAGTGGCTTCCAAGTTTCTGGGAACCCTGCGCCTTTACATTGCGCGATCCTCCAGGAATTAACGTGCCGCAAGATTGGTCGTCGTTTGATTGATTTGTGTTTATTTTTCTTGAGTTAAATTTGTTTGGTCGGTTTGTTGTTGTTGTACACTTTTGCTGCTGCTGCTGGGGTGTTGGGTTGGTGGGGGGGGGAGAGGGGTGGCCCGGCCTGCTGCTGCTGCTGCGTCTACTGCTGCTACGGCTGCGTCGGAGTTAACCATGCGAGACGTGGAGAAGCGAGGCGGCGTGGGAACAGGAGGAGGACAACAGCAGCGCTTGGTGCAGTCCGGTAGGAGCGCACGGGGCCATCCCCGGCGCGCGTCTCTCCACACGGGCTGCTGCTGATGATGATGATGATGCTGCTGATGATGCCGATGATGATGCTGCTGATGATGATGGTGATGACGATAATACTGCTGATGATGCTGCTGCTGATGATGATGATGCTGCTGATGATGCTGCTGCTGATGCTGCTGCTGACAATGATCATGACAATGATGCCTACGATAATGGTGTCGTATAACGATCTTGCTGCTGCTGTTGATGGTTGTTGTTCTGCTGCTGTTGCTGATGATTATGGTTGTGATGATCTAGTCGCGCTGCTACTGCTGATGATGATAGTGGTGGTTCTGCTGTTTTTAGTTGATGTCCATGATGTTGCTGTTCCCGTTGCTGTGCGTGCTCATTGTGATGCTACCTTTGCTCCTGATGATGGTGGCTGTGGTGCTGCTGTTGTTACTGCTGCTGATAATGATTGTGATTCCTTTGCTGTTGTTCCTACTTTTGCTGTTGTTGAAGATGATATTGATGATGACTGCTGTTGCTGATTATGAGTTTGATGTTGCTGCGTCGGATGATGATGTTGCCGTGAAGATTAACTGCTGCTGTGATGAAATGTTATATTAAAGAACTCAACAAAAACGTTTGACTTCCCTTTAACAAAGCGTTTGACGTACAAAAAGAAGTCCATCAAAAGATGTGATCAGAGCGTTAAGTGCCGTATTGTCTATAAACCACGCGCGCGACCAGTGGTATGCCCGTAAATGCTATTTTTTGGAATACTTACGGTGAGTTCGCGTGCTGCCGTGCACAGAAGTCGGGCAATTCCACCAAGTGATGCACACCTCCAGTATGACTTGTGGTGAGCTCGCTTGTGTTTGTGTGCGCAGCTGATCGCGTCTGCCATCAACGTGGGGGGGGGGGGGGCTTATCCAGTTTGCTGACTCTCCGTGCTCGCTCCCCCCATCAGTTGTAGCAGCGGCTCCTCACTTGTCGAGGGTCATTGACTCAGCACCGATGCGGCCGCAGACGAGGTTGGCAAGTCTCGTTAAATCGATTACCTTCACTTTCTGTGTATTCGTCATTACCTAGGTAGGTGGCGAATCCAAAACATAGATACACGTAGCTATACGAAATATAGTTGTATAGCCTCGTGTTTTTTTTTTTGTATCCGGACCACCCCCTTCATCCTCCGTGGACCCAGATAATCGAGATTTGACTCTTTGTGTGTGTGTGTCTTTGTACTGTAGCGCGCTGCCCTACGAACCCGTGGTGCTGGACACATACCACCTCGTGTGCCGTGCCGGCCAACACAGATACTTGCTAACAGCACTTGCCCCAACAAGTCTGCTGAGGCTATACGGGGGACCTTAGTCTTTGTATTGCGCGGTGCTGAACCCAGCGGTTATGTAAGCGACACGGGACGTTGACGTGGACCTGGCAACATAACAGGGACTTGTATGTTGATAGCGTACATTTAAATGTACTCCCCCCCCCCCCCCACCAACAGACACAGCAAAATAGTGATGTTTGTTACGTAAACAAAACGTGCCAATTCGTGAACACTTCAAGCACGCCGTTGCGATGGAGAGTGAACCCACGACATTCACAACTTTAATTGCGACGTTTACTGTAGCTGATGGTGATTGCAACCAGCTTCATCGGGCGATCTTTTTTTTTTAACCCGAATTGTGAAGAGACCCCTTCGTGCTCCCCAACCTCTCCTTTGGCACATCGGCAGAGCTGCGAGCAAATTTTGGTGCCATGGGTTTGGAGCGGTAACCCCTGCGCGTGCCTCGCGGCGACGCTGATACTTGCGCCGACGTGAAATGAAGCCGGGTCGGTGCGAAGCGTACGACAAGGGGAAGGCGAGACCTCGCTGATGTACAGTCCTGTAGATGCCGCAAGCTTAGGAAGGGTCGGTGACGGTCGCGGGCGATCAGACAAACGGTAAGAAAAATCACGTGGCCCCTTTATCCGATTCGCATTCACCGGGATTCCTTCGACGGGTTGAGATCGAATGATCTCCAATGCTGCATCTCAACCCGCACGGCGCCTGCACATGGTGTGCGTCATTGACACAAGGCGAGAGCCCAGTGCATTGCCACATTTGTACAATATTTAAAACCCACCTATCTCTTGAAAAACAGACTTCTGTTCTAAATTGCCACTTTGCTCATTATATATAAAGAAATAACAAGAAATATAAGCACAACTTGCGTTCCGTGTCTTCACATAAAGAAAACAATTGCAGCCCATCAGCGTATGGGCTTCCCAGACCAATATTACCCAGCAACTTTTGTTTAAGGAAAATAACGTGGGGAATTGTATCGACTTTATGGGTATTGTTAGCAGTAAGGCTTGTTAATCCAGCGCTGCTGGGGTACCAGATGTTATTGGCAAGGACACTCCATATAAGCGAGTCATCTCGCGCAAACGCAAAAAGGCACACGGACTCGTGATGCGCTATTATCGTTGAATATTCGGGTAAAATAAAATGTAAATAGCCCTATGTTCTGTACCTTCACATAAATTAGTCTTGTGTTTTAGTCGATCGGCTTATTGGATAAAGGTAATTAATCTCACCGTTGTTATTAAAGTGAAATTAATTACGATCCACCTCTTGTGTGTATTGCAGTCCAATAATGAGTGATCGCTAAAGAGTACTTATTCCTGCAGTCTATACAGCTAAATACTGTATACGATTTTAGTTCACTATCGGTTCCTCGTGCTCAGACATTCTTGTTGCCAACTTTTCCCAACACTTGGCACTCATCTCCCATGCACAACAGGAGTTGCTCTTTACGAGATTAAGAGTCAGAGCCGACATGGGTAGAGGAGACATTGAAATGAAAGGGCACATATTGCAGACTCGTTAATAAAAATGTGTTTGCAAGACCCGTATGTAAATGCGACTTGCTTTGAAACACACCCATCATTAAGCTATTAACTGTTCTTTTTATATATGTATAAAACAACTCGAACATTCAATCTCCATGATAAAATATTAACCATAAAAAATATATACGTAGCTAAAGAACAGGGTTGCATAACATCAGTTTTTTTAGATCTTTTTGTATCCCATGAATGACACAAAACGATTCCTGTTTTACTCACTGCAATCTATCTCGATATAATTGCTGAACCAGCAACCAGAACATTGCATGGCTTGTGTAATATGTGATAGGCAATGCATTACATTGTACAACATTCACAGCATATGCCGATCCTGAAATCAATATTAATTAGCCTTAAATGAATAATGTGATGTGGAACAAAAATCATGTATCCGAATGGATAACAGCTCAACACTGTGGATAAAATTGCACATATGCTGCATGTCTTTTGCCAACTTTCTTACGAGCTGGAGCGTCATACTCAATGGGGGGAAATCACTTTATATATTTCTGTAAGTGTTTAGCAAGAGGCTTCATGTTATTTAGAACCTTAGGTGAGAACCTGCGCTATTAGACAAACAAATTAACCGCTGAGTTGCAATCGTTGGTGGCCCAAAGTTGAAAATTGCTCTTTGGGGTTTTTCACATTTTCAAGCGTAGATTTGACTTTCTAACCCGTCTAAACCATCAACATAATTGACAAAAGTCGTGCAGTCACAGTCTATACGTTTATAAAATAATGGTATGGTATTGAATGTGTTGAGATTGTGTTAAATCTTTATATTAGCCGGAATAAACCAAAAATGCTCCCTCTCGGTTGATGAAATTCCACTTACAGCTAAGTTTTAGAACGACGTGTTCTTGCCTTAAAAGTGATCAAGAGCGAGCATTAGCTTTAAATTGATCAACTGCAAAGGACTTTCCAAACCCATTGTGATAATATTTGCGGTATTGTTGTAAGCGTTAGAAATTCGAGTAGAGCCTCGCGTTGTTCCTTGCCTGTGTACTCCCTCGTCTCTGATGGGCTGGGGTTTAAAATAGATGGCAATAGCTAGGGGGTGGGGGGTTGGATGGGAGAGATCTTATTACCTGTGTGCATTTGCTCGCTGTAATTAAACACAAGCCAATTTGTTTTACTCTAAGCCATTGTGACCGCGGTGTTGGGCCGGCCTGTTTTCAAAATCCATACCGAGAGTTGCAGAACCCCGGAGACTCCCCGTTGTTGGTTTTGGTTACCAATCCTCTGCCTCGAGTCGTCACTTAATTGGTATCGGTAAAGGTCACCGCTGCGTCCATTGCTCAGTTTACTAGCGCCTGCTAAATTGACTTGATCTCCGACGAGAGCATGACCACGGGTTAAATACGACTGTGTCCGAGAAGCGGACCACCGCAGAGATGGAGCGATGGAATCAGGCTCGTGTGTAGGTGCAAGGTGAGCCCGTTACATTGCGGGACTGTGACAGATGGCAGCGGCTTTGGGAGGGCCCTTCATCCGGGAGTGGATCGAATTACTTATTTATTTAGCACTTTATGCGTTTGAGACCGGGATTTGCAGAGATAGATCCTCTGGTTGGATCATTAACTTCCTGTGGAGACCCCAGTATCGACGAAGAACGCCACTTGCACACTGAATTAATTGCACCACCGAGAGTGGATTGATATTTGCAGCGCATGTGAAGACGGGATTAGATCAGACTTTAGTTTCAGGGCTATCAAGAGATATATATCCTGGGTGCTTTTATTGTGAGGACGTCATTTAAGTTGTGCCCGAGCAGGGCTTGTAGAATTATGTGCAGAAAAGTGGAGGAATTGGATGTGAAGTGTGTGAATGCCTTATTACGTAAGGCTAACAAGAGATTAATTTGCAGTGTCTAAAGAAATCTAGAGCAACACTGACAGTTTTTTTTATATAAAACGTGCAGTTATTTCTTAACAGCCTTAATCTGTATTTTTTTAAACACATGACATATTTTACAATTGAATTGAACACTATGCTGACTCTTGAATTTGAAACACGTGTGGAAAAATAACCGGAGGCAATTTGGAGGCATTATGTCGTGCAAAATATTCACTGCCTATGACCACATCAACAGGAATATGTCAGATCTCGCCG